TCCCTAACAAAACACCTGACATTTCATTATATCTGAAATGTGGAACTCCACATGTGCATGACTGAGCATGTTTCCTCAGGCCTCCAGTTTGGCTGCCAGAGAAGCTTTTTAGCAGCGAAGGCTGATCGTAGGTCAGGAAAGTAGGTGGGGGCAGAGGCAAGACATTTCCATGGCTAGCTTCCTAGAAATTTTTTTTGACATCCAAGGCCACGATACTTATGAGGCCCTCTTGCCTGAATTTATAACCCCTAAACCTCAGCTTCCCCTCTCTCTATGGGGTCTTCAAATGGTTCCCCTCTGTAGGCTCACTCAAGGGCCTTCCTCACTTTCAGTTTCACAATGAATAGTACTTATTTTTTCCAGATGAGAGTTGTAAGGTTTTAAAATCAGAATCAATCTTACCTATATTCAACTCTACTTTATAGTGGGGAAACAGAAATCCAGAGAGGTTAAAGGACTTGACCAAGGTCACACAGCAGTTCTACCGAGACTGAGTGTAACTAGAGCCCAGATTATCTTGACTCCTAAACTAGTGCTCTGTCCACTATCCCATGATACTTTTGAAAGCAACATGCTGGAAGAGAGAGAGAGAAGGTGCCCATTTTATGTGAATAATGTCCTCTAATCTTTACATTATTTAAGAGCCAGGGCAAACTCTAAAAGACAATGACTAAAGGAAGTTAAGCGGGCACTGTTTTAGGCACACAAATCAGTTTTTCTTTCCAAGAATTCTCTAAACCTGCTGTAATGGACACAGGAAGCAAAAGCAGCCTAAGGGACAAAACATGTAGAAGCACAAAAAAACAGATCTCAATCTGTTCCCAGGTAAGTGAGATTAGCCTTGGGATGTTAAACCTGCTGTGTTATTCCAAAGACTTAGCCTAACCAATTTTGGGATATTCTTTTCCAAAAGGAGAAGTTCCATCTCCCCAGTTTCTCATACAAAGAAAAAGAGAGTTTGCAACATTATCCAATCCTAGTTTCTTATTTCTGTCCCTACATGGGCTACAGTGAGGGTATGGAAATCTCAGTTTTTATCAAGGAAATGAACTCAGAGGCCCTCTTCAACTCACATTACCTTCTCAGTGGCCCCCAGCAGAATCACAGCCATTTCTGGCTAACAAGCTGAGAAGACACAACTAGGTGCCTATTGAATCCCTGCCTATGATATATAAAAGTCCAGTGGGTGAGGAAGGGGAGAGGAAGAGGGGCCCAGGTTACCCCGCGAGCTTGCTGGTGANCACAACTTACATGCAGGTTCTTCACAACAGCCATACCCCTTCTCAACTATTAACAGCACCTCTAATACATCAATCTACTCTCCATCTCTTCCTTCCACTGTAGCCTGAAAGATTATTCTAAAAAGCCAAATTGATCATGTCATTCCCCTGCTCAAAGTCCTTAAATAGCAGCTTCTCACTGTCTCCAGGGTGAAGTCCAAAGGGGCCCTCTGTGACCTGACTCTTGCTTTCCTCCACCCATCTCTGGCCTTCCTTGCATGCTATGCTACAGCCACTCTCAATTACTGAAGGTTTCCAGAATATAATACCTCTCAATCTTTTTACATACTGTGCTTTCACCTGGAGGAACCCCTTTCCCAATCTAACTACTTTACCTAAATCTTATTACTCCATCATATTTTGGCTTAGAAGCTACTTTCTGTGAAAAGACTTTCCTGATTGTTTTTCCACCCCCGCCCCAAATCAGGTAAGTGCCCCTACTCTATGCTTCCAGAGCATTTTGTGCTTATCCGTCTTAGCACTGAATTTTTGTATTTTAATTGTCTTGTTTACCCATCTTTATTATGTCCCCATATAGTTTATAAGCTTCTTGAAGGCTTTAGATGTTTTATCTCATTCAATCACTTCAACAATCCTTTATGGTAAGTGCCACATCATTCCTTTCACCAATCAGTAAATTGAAGCCAAGAGAGTTTAAGAAACTCATCCTGAGTTGTCAAAATCAGGACTTAAAACCAGGCACCAGTCCATCACTAAATCCATCACCTTTAAATCCCTTCTCCACACAATTAGTCAATGACCTATGTAAAACACAGATCCGACCAGGTCTTTCCAGTGGAGTCTGCTCAGTGGTTCCTAGGCCTGCCTGCATGCTATATCCTTTGTAATCCGGTTCCTGTCTACTTTCCTGGCCTGGGCTCCAGCCTCTCCCCAGAACTCACTCCAATGCTGCTACTGCAGAAACACTACGGGTTCCATGCTCTCATCCTTCTTTAAGTGTTGGTGCCTCTACCAAAATGCCCTTTGCACTTTACCTTTCTGGAGAACTTGTCCATTCTTCAGAATTTAACCCATGGAACCTTTGCTGACCACTCTTGTCCCCATTCCTTTGCAGGTAATGGAGTGAATCCTGTCTACACTCTCAGGAGCTGTGTGATTTGGACAACTCAGTGTTTTAGTTTTCTCATTTGTATAATGGCAATAGTAAGTCTACCAACTTTGTAGAATTGTGAGGATTAGGTGAGATGTAAATTAAGCACTTAGTATAGAGCCTGAGACATAGTAAGCACTTAAGACATTTAGCAATTATTATTAATTACTTGTCCCTATTGCCCCATGCAGCTAGGCTGCTAGTGCTGTCTGTGTAATATTTCTTCACATGTAGTTTCCCCTTCAGAGTGTAATCTCCTTGAAAGATACCCTCACATACCACTCATCTGACATTTTAGTAGCACATGCCAGTAACCTGGCATATTATGTACACTTATAATTGAACTAGACTATTAAAATACTACCCATCTTTCAAAGGCCCAGTTCAATTTCCACTTTCTCCACTAATGTTTATCTAACGATTCCAGCCTTTTAAATTATCCCTTCTCAGAATTTTTTTACCACTGCTTGACTATGTAGAAGTATTATCATCAATGAGGCCTTAGGCTCCTCCAGGGAAGACACATCTTATACTGTCTATCTGCTCAATAATAGCTAGTATTTCCAATTGCAAATTGAGTGTTCAACCATCACGTGTGAATTAAAGTATTTTCTTCCTAAGCATGGGAGGCCTCTGTATTAGTTAAGTCCCGATCTCTGAGAAAATTCAGCTAACTCATCTCCTGTCTCTCCTTCCCCTGGCTCTTTTTATTTGTATGCCATTGTCATGTCTTGGCTTCTCAAGAACTCTTCCCATTCCTTATTAACCTCCCTCAAGAGGAGATTAGGCCCAGTAGAGGTCATTATGCTGCTGGCTCACTGTATAATCTCAATAGCAACTCCATGAACTATTTTTCTTTTGCCCGTGTTTTCCATGCCCATGCCACATCAGCTTAAAATAAATGATGCTGGTTAAGTCACATTAACAATGGTGACTTCATTCATGCAGTACTGCATCTCAGATGGCTGAAAGGCTTGTCAGCACAATCCTCACTCAACCACATTGGAGTTGACTCCACTCTTTGGAATAAAGATTTCAAAAAATACCTGCCCAGAATAGTGGGCAGAACAGCTATTTGAAGCACTGCCAGAGTCAGTGTGCTCTGGTTGCATAGCCCTCAAGGAAGGGATTAAAGGAGAAGGAATGGCAAGTTTTAAACTGAAATAGAAATAGCCACAAACATTTCTTGTCGCCTTGGAACTCGTAAGGCTACAGCTTAAAACTAAGGACCAGGGAAATGAGAAATGGAAAAAATCATATAAAAAGCCTTGATTCTAACTTAAGCTCTCCAGTAAACCAGCTTTGCCAGCTTGTAAGTAACCTATTCTTATGACTCAACTTCCTTAGCTGCACTAAAATGAAACTATGTTGACTCAGTGTTCCCACACTCAGCCTCACTAATCTTACTCCCCAACTGGATCCACCTGGCAAACAAACTCAGGACATTGTCAAAAAGAAGTTCCTCTTAGAACAAGAATGAGAAGACTCACTAATCCCACAATAAACACTAATTTATATTATAACATATATATGTATTTAAGATATATATATTTCTTCTAGCTTTGAGTTTATACCTTTCTAAATAAGAAAATCTTCACGTATTTTCTTCCAGGTAGACTATCAATCCCAAAAAAGTAGGGAATGCCTTTCTTTAATATATCTGCATACCACCCGGCTCACTCAGTGTCTAGCATGCTGTTCAGAAAGGCCAACGGTTACAAGGCATCACAATCCCCTGGCTAAATCAGTAACATCCCGAATAGTTGAAAACTCATTTGGAAGCTTCTGATTAAGGAGAAAGAAGGAGTTAGATACTAAGAACAACATTTCTACTCCAGTTTAGAAGTGCTTCTCCCCTCAAGATGGAGATTTCTCTGGAATATCCAGGTCTCCTGGGCCTTCTTTCTCTTGGTGCATACTCACTTGAGAAGTCAATCAGATTTGGGAAAAATACTATCAACTCTCCTAATCAAACTTGGGCAAAATAGGAAAGTAGATTCAATCTACCAAGTGTGAATGTTGGTGTGGTTGGGGGAGAGACAGATATGAGTTGTTTCTCCTTCAGTAACATTTTTGTGTATTACAATCACAAGTAATTTTTTAAAGTTTTCAGTGGCAGGATTCTAATGATGGTTGGGACACCATGAGGAGAGAAGTAACAGTCTCCTGCTGGCCATAAGCAGAAGGCCTTGTTTCTTTTGGTTTCTTAGAGGTCACATTTCTCCTTCACAGACATTAAGAACTTGTGAAGGAATGGGGACTGAAAGAGAAAAGGAAGAAGGGGCCTCCTTTTTAGCTTAGCCTGGACTAAGTGTTAGGTGTCAGTAAACCATTTAGGTCCAACAAATACATCAATTCTCTCATTTTGAGCCAACACCTGAGGCTGATGCATCTTCCTCATCAGTTACAAAACAAAGGGTGACAGGAGTCAGGACAAGCCCTGGTCTGTAAGCCAACGTCCTTGCTCCCTTTCCTTGAGTGACAGAAGGGACCCCAGCCACATCCCATATTAAGGGCCCGTGTCCCTTAGAAACTTCCTGAATGGTGTCTTCAGTCTTGTTTTCTTCCCTTCCCCCAAACCCCAATAAAACACACCAATTGCTTCAGAGTATTTGTGGGTTGGGTTTTTCATAGGTCATTGTCTTTTCTTTTTTTATTTCAGATACTGAAAAAGTCCCCTGGGCTCTGTGGGGCTCTCCATTCTCATGGACCCTTTCCCCCACATTCACTGCCCCTCTCCCCAAGCAAATCTATTTCTAGGACAGCATTTTTTAAACAAACAATTAACATTAATTGCATTCTTAGCCTGTTCTGCAGAACCAGAGGAGCTATTTAGATGGACAATTTCTTTTATCTGACACTAGGTCCCCAGCCACATCCAAGCAAACAATTTTCTGCAGAGCTGAATTAGAATCCCTCATCGTTAGTCTACTCCACCTCTTCCCCCACACACTCATCCCACATCAGCCACATGGTTAGGAAGGAGGATAATCAGGAATGTTTTTGTCAACCTCAGTCTCTAATTCATATTCCCCTAAATCTCCCACCCCACCTTCTCAAACATTCCCCATTCCTTCCAGGATTTCACTGAGATTTCTCCCAACAGTCATTTGGAAAAAGGTAAAACAAAAAAGGTTCAAGGTCTTGGTGCTCAGCCCAAGGGGCTCCATGCGCTGGGACACCGACGGGCAGGGGCTTCTGCCTCTCCAGCCCGCGCCCGAGCCACCTCCTGACCCCTGGCTGCAAAAGCAGGGAGGGGCAGGAGCCAGCACAGGACCCAGGGGGGCAGCGTCTCAGGATCTGGCGGAGCCCCGGGCAGCATCATTCAACTTGGCCACTGTGGATGAACACAGGAGAAAAAGAAAACACTGTCAAGTAATAAGGGAAAAAGTCCTAAGTTCCATCCCAGTCTGCAACCCATGACTCTTCCACACTTAATCTTTAGGCTTTCTGGCATATGCCTCAATCCTATCCATAGAAAGTTAGAAAAAGAGAGAAAGGGAGAATTTAAATCTTTTCCCGTGTACAAACAACAAAAAAAAATGTTTGCATTTTGGATATATCCATGAAAACAGACAGAAAAACAGTTCTTTAGACAAGACAAAAATAACTGGAGGTTTGGAGTGTAAGGTAGAGTTGGCTCAGTTTCACAGGCACAGCCACAGCCATGTACAGCAGCAGAGGCTTGAATGGGGGCACACAGTGACAAGGTGGTGACTGTGTGGAGGCCAGGGCCAGACAGTACATATAATTGTTTGGAATAGATTAAGCAATCTAGGCTCAGTCAAAGCAATTTGGATTTGGATTTTGAAATGACCATCTTTGCAATGGAAGTTATGTACTTCATGCAATATAAACAGGTGGCAAATACAGAATGTAGCTTGTTTCTTTGTTATCTTAGCCTTGAAGATAATCATGTAGAAATAAAGTAAGACCAACAGTTTTCTGATTTCTCTATTTCTTCTATTCCTTCCTAAAACCAGACTCATTGTTAACTCAGGCTTGAGGATTCAAACTGACCAATAGAGAAAGCAGTTCAGACAGAAGAGAAAAAAAGTACAAAACTCAAGAAGATCGGAGATGAAGAAAACATACAAAATTATATATATATTTATATATATAATAACATGATGTATCTATGTACAACATGGCTGGGACAGTTGAGGAAACTATACAAGAATGTTCAGCATTTTCCTCTTCCCACATGGGCTTTAGACTAAGGAAGACAGCATGAGGAAATGGAGCAAGAACACGAAAGTTATATACAATTACAAGCAACAGTCAAGGAGTTTGGGGGCCAGGTAATCCAGGGATCCTGCTCTCTCCATTCTTCCCTCACCAACTCTTTCCTATCCAATCTGAATGACAGCCTGAAAAGTGAATGGTAAGTCAGGAAAGAAATATATACACACCCCATTCCCCAAAATGCACATAAGGAAGTTCATCAGTCATTTGATCATGCCAAATGTTTGGCATATCAGAATCTGGTGGTGAGAGGGCAAGAAGGATGACAGAATCTTGCTCTCCTGAACAGTTAGTCCTCACCCTGGCCCTCTCTGTCATATCTAGCAGGTTGCATCAGTGAGATTCAGGCCAAAAGATAGTGATAACTAGACTGAAGATGCTGGCGACCCACAAGCCCTTTCCTCCATCTATTCATGGATCAGCATTGCGACTCCTCCTCAGAGCCCAGAAGCCAGGTTAGTAAGGTCTAGGGAGATGGAGATTTCTCTGTTCCTTTTCTCTCTTCCTAACCACCTTCCCTAAATTTCTTCATGATGAATCATCTCCTAAGAACCTGCTGCTCCAGCCCTGCCATAGGACCAAGCCCTGGAGGCTAGCTCAGTTCACTTGTTTTCTTTTTGTCTCCCTAACAAAACACCTGACATTTCATTATATCTGAAATGTGGAACTCCACATGTGCATGACTGAGCATGTTTCCTCAGGCCTCCAGTTTGGCTGCCAGAGAAGCTTTTTAGCAGCGAAGGCTGATCGTAGGTCAGGAAAGTAGGTGGGGGCAGAGGCAAGACATTTCCATGGCTAGCTTCCTAGAAATTTTTTTTGACATCCAAGGCCACGATACTTATGAGGCCCTCTTGCCTGAATTTATAACCCCTAAACCTCAGCTTCCCCTCTCTCTATGGGGTCTTCAAATGGTTCCCCTCTGTAGGCTCACTCAAGGGCCTTCCTCACTTTCAGTTTCACAATGAATAGTACTTATTTTTTCCAGATGAGAGTTGTAAGGTTTTAAAATCAGAATCAATCTTACCTATATTCAACTCTACTTTATAGTGGGGAAACAGAAATCCAGAGAGGTTAAAGGACTTGACCAAGGTCACACAGCAGTTCTACCGAGACTGAGTGTAACTAGAGCCCAGATTATCTTGACTCCTAAACTAGTGCTCTGTCCACTATCCCATGATACTTTTGAAAGCAACATGCTGGAAGAGAGAGAGAGAAGGTGCCCATTTTATGTGAATAATGTCCTCTAATCTTTACATTATTTAAGAGCCAGGGCAAACTCTAAAAGACAATGACTAAAGGAAGTTAAGCGGGCACTGTTTTAGGCACACAAATCAGTTTTTCTTTCCAAGAATTCTCTAAACCTGCTGTAATGGACACAGGAAGCAAAAGCAGCCTAAGGGACAAAACATGTAGAAGCACAAAAAAACAGATCTCAATCTGTTCCCAGGTAAGTGAGATTAGCCTTGGGATGTTAAACCTGCTGTGTTATTCCAAAGACTTAGCCTAACCAATTTTGGGATATTCTTTTCCAAAAGGAGAAGTTCCATCTCCCCAGTTTCTCATACAAAGAAAAAGAGAGTTTGCAACATTATCCAATCCTAGTTTCTTATTTCTGTCCCTACATGGGCTACAGTGAGGGTATGGAAATCTCAGTTTTTATCAAGGAAATGAACTCAGAGGCCCTCTTCAACTCACATTACCTTCTCAGTGGCCCCCAGCAGAATCACAGCCATTTCTGGCTAACAAGCTGAGAAGACACAACTAGGTGCCTATTGAATCCCTGCCTATGATATATAAAAGTCCAGTGGGTGAGGAAGGGGAGAGGAAGAGGGGCCCAGGTTACCCCGCGAGCTTGCTGGTGACGAGTGAGGACTTTCTCTGGGGCAGATCCTGAGGGGTGGGAATGTGGTCACCAGTCACCAGGTTCTTGTCCGCTCCTGCACTTGGCAGCTGCTTGTTCTTCATCTTGGCCTTGGCCATGTTGTAGTCTCCTGAGTCAAAGTACTTTTGCTGAGAGACAAGACGGAGGTTTAGGTGAGTCTGGAGCTCTGGCCCTCCTTGAAAGCAAGGAAACTCACATTTATTATAAAACCTCACCTACACTCAGATCTTTCAAGTCATCTTTGATTAACCTCATGCATACATAGCTCAGCATTAATTACATGTACTTATGTCTTCTCCCCAACATGTTCTGACTTTTTCAGGTGTGCAATTTCACAGCAGTATGTATGTTTGGAGATAAGAGAGCCCCTATATCCTTTGCACCCACATCCTGTGTAGTGCCATCAGCACAGGATGGTTTAACCAAATTACTAACTATTCATAAAGGCTTACTGACGATATAGTCTCAAATGAGGTTGGTTCTGGAGAAACAGAAATGAATAGCTATATAGAAGGGTCAGCCTGGGGCTATCCTAACAATCAATAGGAGATCAACCTCTAAATTAAAAACTATTCTCTCAAACCATCAAAAGAAACAGGGCTTCTCATGAGGACACCGTATCTTTCCTCTGACTCCCACAGCTGTGACAGCCTGCCCACACCTGACTTGCCTACAGCACCACATCAGCACCTGTGACTAAGACTCAGAAACCAGGGTTCTTCACAGGAACCTGTTTCACTCAGAGCAACACACTCTAGCTGAGTGACCTACAATCCCTTAGTCAGCTTTATGTACCTCTGGGGACTGAGACACCTGAGCAGGAGCTAGGTGGCTATGAAGGCAGACTCTCCCTTGGTGAAGAGGACCACTCTGGACAAGAAAAATAAGTCTTCAGGGAGTACAGTTAATGGCTAGTCCTAACTTCAAGGGTCTGAAGAAATCTATTCATTTCAGGTTGGAGAAATCTGTAGGACAGATGGTTTGTTCCTTTTCTGAAATGACGTACCCTCAAATGTAGCTCTAATCCTAAAAAATTTAGTTCCTAAAACTCTCACCATCCAAATTGGCAAATTCCAGTCAGCATTCCAGTCTCTAAAATCTTTCTTTATTCCCCTCCCAATATCCCCACACCTCAAAGCCCCTACATTAAGCTGTAATATCTTATATGGGCAATCAGAAGATAACTGATACCATACCAGGGAATTACAATAATTTGCTTTGCTTTTTACAAGTTCCTAATTCCACCTTTCTACTGCTCAGCAACACAACATCCAGATGAGAATTCAGAACCTCCACAGATCTCATCCCTAAAGTCTCCTTTGGTTCCAGAGTAAGAAAGTAAAGAGATTGTGACCAATACCCCTTTCTGAAGCCTCTTCATGAGGAAGTCAGATCCGCCAGGCTTTTGTCCTAGGCTTGGATATTTGGCCTTTAGCTTTGCCTCTTCAGCTCTCTCAGGGAGAATACCTTCTTTCTCCTGTGTGTCCTACAGGAAACAAATGGACCAATAAAATTAATGACTGAGAAGAAACTGCTTCTAATACCTAGCAAACATTTATACTGCCAACTTTCCCTGAAGATCCACCCACTTGGAAACATGCTATTTCCACTCTGCTCTTATATAAAGCTGGACCTTTGTTCAAATCCCTAAAGCTTAAGATGACTGTATTGTGAGAAGAAAAAGACAAGCTAGTTCTCACACGCTGCCCAGGGAACCACCTCCATGATATGAGTATTGGGTTAAAGGTAATAACTAAACACAATACTTTAATCAGAATGAGCCACAGCTCACTCAGCACAGAAGCTAGGAAAGAAAACAAGAGGGAAGAGCTAGCCAGAACTTCTGATGATACAAGATGAGTAGGAAAGCTAACACACAGTACAGGTAAATGGGAAATCAAAAGGGATAATTCTGCTGAGATGTTCCCTCCTTACTCAGTGTAAGATAGTCATCTGATAAGTCTCTCTGTGGAGGAAGCTACAGCTATGTGGTCTCCAAAAACACTCCACCTCAGTAATCGGACAAAGTTGCTTTAGCATTTCCACAAACATTATGGTAGGAAGATGACAGGTAAACAGATGGAAAGGACACTGTTTCTAACCTTGGGAGAACTGAGATACAGTAGGTTCACTAGTATTTACCCAGTTTTTTTTTTTGGTATCAATGTAAAATTACATGAGCAACATTATGGTTACTAGACTCCCCTCATTATCAAGTCCCCACCACATACCCAAATTTACAGTCACTGTCCATCAGCGTAGTAAGATGCTGTAGAATCACTACCTGTCTTCTCTGTGTTGCACTGCCCTTCCTGTGCTCCAGTCCCTACATTATGTGTGCTAATTGTAATGCCCCCTTTTCCCCCTTCTCCCTCCCTTCCCACCCATCCTCCCCAGTCCCTTTCCCTTTGGTAACTGTTGATCCATTCTTGGGTTCTGTGATTCTGCTGCTGTTTTGTTCCTTCAGTTTCTTAGTTTTTATACTCCACAGATGAATAAAATCATCTGATACTTGCCTTTCTCTGCCTGGCTTATTTCACTGAGCATAATACCCTCTAGCTCCATCCATGTTGTTACAAATGGTAGGATTTGTTTTCTTCTTATGCCTTAATAATATTCCATTGTGTATATGTACCACATCTTCTTTATCCATTCATCTACTGATGGACAATTAGGTTGCTTTCATTTCTTGGCTATTGTAAATAGTGGTGCGATAAACATGGGTATTTACCCAGTTTTTACCAAAAAGTCAACACCTTCCCTAGTGGGGCAAGTGATTAAAGTTTGGGTAACAGCCAGGAGCTCAACTCGCTTGCAGAGGCTTTCACTGGTGGTGATATTCTCTTCTTGCCTTTTGTGGGCCCTGCGGCCCTTTAGTAATTTTTGAAAAGGACCTAAACCCAAGAAGTGGATTTCGAGTGTTTTCATCACATAATTGCAGGTGAGCTTAGTACCACCACTTGCCTTGGATGTCTTGGGGGAATAAGGTGGTGTATTTCTTGTCACGACGCTCCCGGTGTCTAGGTTTAACCTCCATTATTCTGTATGGAACTCTAGCCCTCTACAATCCTGTTCGGCCCTCACTGAAGGTGGGCAACAGACCAACCCCAACCGTCAAAACAGATCTCTTGAGAAAGCTGCAGCCTTAAACGAATCATAATAATAATAATTTCTCTTCTCCCTACCCCCAGTGCTGGTCCTTTGTAAAATTCTTCACTTCGACGTGTACCTTTCTGAGGACTCAGGATGCTGACCGCAGCCTGGTTGTCCGGTCATTAACACCTACTAACCAAGTACACACACTGCATCTTGGGACCACCGCCCACTTTCATTCACTCAGTTTTTCCAAACACCCGCCCTGCGCCCAAGCTCGGCCAATTATAGCACAACTTAAGTCTGCCTGCGTGACGTATAAAGTAGCCAACCCCTGCAGGACCTGAGACAATGGCGACCAATTCGCAGCGGTGGGAGGCCGACTCCCGCCCCATCACGGTTGCCCCCTGCTCGCCAGCCCGCACCCCCTCCATTTCACCTGCTTCTCCTCGCCGGTCTCCTCCGCAGGGTTCTCCTCTTCTTGTTTCTGGGACATGGCGGGGCCGGGGCTGTGGCGTGTACGGGGCCCGGGAAGTCAACCGGAGAAGGGAAGGGGGAGGGGAAACGGGGACAACCTGCGCGGCTGCTTCGGCTCCTGTCACTAAGGTTGCTCTGTCAAAATGGCGGCTCCTGCGTGTGACGCCACGGCCGCCCTTTCCATTGGGAGCCAATGGAAGTGGGGTAGATGCGGCAATGACGTAACGACCTACCAATAATTGCCGGCTAAAGGCGGGATGGAGGCGACGGGCAAGCTGGAACACCAGTCTCGAAAGAGCGTGAGCCACAAGGGCCAATTGGAAGCCCATGGGAGATGTGGGGGCGGCACTGCTAAGCTTTGGCAATGTTGCCCAATGGCGGTGGGGTCAGACCTCTGATACCACTCTCGGTTCCCTGCAGGCGTTACCGAGTTTCAAAAGGAAGTTAAAGGATATACGCATTTTATTTCAAGGTGGAGAGGATTAAGCCTTGGGCATCGTTAGCAGAAAATGGTCGATCTTAAATAATTTGGAAGTAAGAGTGGACTTTAAAGTGATACTCAACGACTTTCCGATGTGTCATTTGGTTTGCGGAAAGGAGACTTGAGTCCTCAATCCGAGTCATTTTGCGGAACACAAATAGCATACGTTCTATGATTTAACTTAATCTTAAAGACACTATTATACTTACTTATTAGGGGTCATACCATGAAGACAAAGCTCCTTGAAACAGCACAGTTCTAAGTATATGGTAAACATTTAGTAAATAGTTAACACTAGTTAACCAATCTGGAGTCACAGTACAATATTTCCATAAAGGTCTGTTTGTAGATGGTACTGTATTAATTTTACAGGGGATATTTGGATAGTAAGGCAGTCTCTGCCTTTCGAAAGCTTATTAGTGGGCGTTGGAGCTGAGGTTGGAGGGGGTCCTTCATAGTGTGCCAGGAGTATCCCAAATCCCCAAAATTAAATCGACACATTGTCCTGGAGTGGCAGCCACGGCATTTTTCATATTTAAAAAGTCTACTAGTAATAACAGTGCAAAATTCATATTAAATTTTAATTTTCCAGGCAGTCTGTTGTGACAAATAACCTTGGGGCTATCTGTTCTTTTTTCTGTATAATTAGAAATTTTCTGTATAATCCTTTTCTAATGGAGAAGTTTGACAAGCACTGGGATACACAGATTATTATCATAAAAGGAAAAATCTGATTAGCATTGAAATAAAAGTGTTAATAAAGGGCTACATGGGTTCAAATGAAGGCTCATATTCAGTATGGGGTCCAAAAGAAGACTTTGTGTCAGAGGTGGTTGTAAGTACACAGAGAGGAAATCCTGGGTCAAAATACCTCTAAAAACCGAAATCAGTCAAAGGGAGAAATGAAGTTTAAAATTCACGTATTGTTTACAAACTGCAGTCTGGGCCCTTCTCTCTTTCCTGCTCCAGAAGAAGCAACATGGGCCCTCCCCTCCCCTCTCAGGTACAGGTAAGCCCTCCATGCCCAGGTAATTACCCATTGATATGGAGATGAACTTCACCCCTGAGGAATGATGCAAATGTACTAAAGCCATACTTCTTTCCACATCTGAATGCCTATTGAAATGCAAATGTACTAAAGCCAGGCGAGATATTCTGGAAATACTATAATTTTACCCACAGGCCACCCTTCCAGAAATCTCACCTTATAATTTATTCATTCTCCCTCTTCCGACCAATCTAATAACATATAATAGCAATAGCAATAAAATCATAATAATCCTCAAGCCAGAGGATTCAGCCTATGCAGATTAAGTAAATGTACTTTACAGCACAATCTCTCACTAAGTACAAAATGTTTCTACACTTGTTTATTCATTCCTAACAACTATGCTAGATTACTCACAAACTTTAGCCAGACATTAGACAAAGTCAAGCCTCTCTTTAAGCATTTTTTTCTTGACAACAGCAACACAATCATGATAACTCTCAAACCAGAGGATTCAGCTAGGTTCAAAGTCCCATGCAGATTAAGTCCAAAGCTCGTCCATTCCAGCCATCACATGGCAGCTGCAGCCAAGAGGCACATCCAGGACACATGGACTGTAGAAGCAAATAACCCTGATTGTAGGGGGTCACTTTGCTGTTCTTCTAGGAATACACAGGAGGCCAGCTTCCAGGCCTTTTACCCAAGGTGCCAGGAGGGCCAGCCATCGCTGGTCAATGTGTTGAAATATACAGGGCCATATCCATTTTATTCCTAATTGCTGCACACATCCTTGCAATGCATGTCCAATAAAGTGGGTGCCTTGATCGCTCTCAATCACCAGTGACCGGCCGTAGGCTGCAAAGAGATGCACTAGGCCCCTCACGGTGGTTTGCTGATCTGCACAATGTGCAGTGCACTCCTTCTGGGCTCGGCTGACTTCTTCAAAGGTCAATGGCAAGCCCCACTGACAGGCTACAGCTCACATTGCCTTTTGCCCAGCATGCAACAAATGCTGGTGTAGCCATTGGGCCACATCAGAGGCAGGCTTTCCTTCTAGCCAGCACACCTGGGCCAATGTGTCTGCTTCATCATTCCCTGGAGGTGCAAAAGGCAAATGGCCAGTCACATGATATATGGTAGGTGTCTGTGCTACACCACTCCATGGCCTTTGGGTCCAGTCTCGCACTCCCCTGTGATGGGATAGGTGGTTATTACCTTGGTCAGAGCTGTTCTGGTGGTGGGCTCCATAGCCAGTGTTAGAAAAAGCATAAAACCTAAATGTGATTTATTCCCACCAGGAGGTTTAAACATTTTAACAGGAAGGTATTAACAAAGGGCCATGTGGTGGAAAATATGCCAGGAAGCTGCTCAGGCTGAGAGTTGGGGTGTGAGGGGAGAATTGGTAAAGGCCAGGCTATACCTGTTTGAGGTTTTTTAAACCTACCAGTGACATTAAGACAAATGTAAGAGAAGGCCCAATGTGGATATAATTGGCTTAGGCGACATCCAGGAAAGGATGTGAACCCTGTAGTTCTCAGCCAATGAGGAACCAAGGGAGGGACTTGCGTACTAGGTAATAAATTACTTGGTGCCAGCGGCCTCAGGTGTGCCTGCCCACCAGACACCCGATCTTGCAAGACCGTCATTAAAGCCTCACTCCGCTGTTCTCTTTGTCTCCATGTGCACTTATTGAGTTTGGATCAGTGAGTGTGTTTCTCACAGTCAGCAAGGCATGGTACACAGCAGCCAGTTGCTTCTCTATCAAGGTGACCCGGACCTCTGCTCCTTTCCATAGTTGTGGCCAGGCTCCAGCTGGCAGCAGGAGTAGCAGCAGTGGCAGAAGCAGTAGCCTTAGGCTCAGGACACGGGCTGGGGTCAGTGTGGCCAGCAGCGGTGGTGGTACCTCCATGACCACATGAGTGTAGACAGATGTCCCTTGGCACAAGCGCCACTTCTCCCCATCATTTCCTGGGGCGGCCCTCCCAAAGGTCACACTCATTATGACAGATTTCAGATTCAGAGGAATCCTTTTGACTACTGCCAGAAGAAATTCTGGGGAAAGGAAATACCAGGACAAAATACCTCTAAAAACCTAAATCAGTCAAAGGTAGAAATAAAGTTTAAAGTCTGTTTATTGCTTACAAACCATGGTCTGGGCTCTTCTCTCTTTCCTGCTCCAGCAGAAGCAAAACTGGCCCTCCCATACAAACTGTATCTGCCATACAGATAAGCCCTCCAAGCCCAGTAATTACCCATTGATATGGAGATGAACTTCTCTCCACCCCTGAGAAATGATGCAAATGCACTAAAGCCATACTTCTCTCCACCTCTGAATGCTTATTGATATGCAGATATACTAAAGCCAGGTGAGATATTCTGAAAATACTACAATTTTACCCATAATGGTATTTGAAATAAGCTTTAAAGAATTTAGAAGTTTCCCAGGTAAAGAAGTAAGGAAGGGTATTCCAGGCAATGGGCATAGCATGAAGGGTAGAGGAAAAGAATTGAATCCAGAACATGGAGGGCTTTGAATGCTGAAATAAGGAATTCGTGAATATTTGAGTAATCCATGAGAAAGATTTAAAGATTTTAGTCTAGAGAGTGGAAGATTAGAAATATTCACCAGGAAGATTAATCTAGTGGTAATGAATAAAAATAATTCAGAATTCTAAGCCAAGAGATACTAGAGGTGGGCAGTTTGGCTAGGAGTCTACAGCAATAATCTAGGTGGGAGATAATTTGGATTTAAACTGCAAATGTGTTTAAATGTAGTTTAGCATAGAAAACAGTGAACCCAATTGAGTCTTTGGCAATAGAATCCATTAGCAGATGATCGAATACAGAGAAAGAAGAGTCCAGGTACCTCAGGGTGAGTGTATGAACAATGCATTTAAGAAGAGGAGTCCACCTAGGAATGGAACTGGAAGCATACAGAAAATGATGTGTTCAGTTTTGAGTGACTCACTTTAAAAGCCAACGAGCCATTTTGTGGGGATATCCAGACAATTAAGACTTAGGATACATCATTTCTGTGATCTCAATATCTGAAATTTTAGATTTCTAGGAAACACAGATCTGGAGTTTGGAAGAAAAGTAGAAGCTTGTGGGTAAAATTGTAATATTTCTGGAATTTCTCGCCTGGCTTTAGTATATCTGCATATCAAGCATTCAGAGGTGGAGAGAAGTATGGCTTTAGTGCATTTGCATCATTCCTCAGGGCTGGAGAGAAGTTCATCTCCTCAATGGGTAATTACCTGGGCAAGGAGGGCTTATCTGTACCTGAGAGGGGAGGGAGGTGCTGGTTTTACTTCTGCTGGAGCAGGAGAGATGGCTCCGGACTTCAGTTTGTAAGCAATAAATGGGTTTTAAACTTTATTTCTCCCTTTGACTGATTTCGGTTTCAGAGGTATTTTGCCCAGGGATTTCCTTTCCCCAGACTTATATCTGGTGCAGTTGACAGGGTCTCTGAATTCAAAATCTGTCATAATGGGTGTGACTTTTGGGAGGGCCACCCCTAGAAATGATGGGGAGAAGTGGTGCTCATGCTGAGGGATGTGTGCCTGCATTCATGTGGTCATGGAGGCACCACCACTGGTGCTGGCTGTGCTGACCCCAGTCTGTGGCCCGAGCCTAAGGCTGCTGCTGCTGTCACTGCTGCTGCTCCTGCTGCCAGCTGGAGCCTGGTCA